TTGTTTAAGGGGGGGGGGGGGGGGGGGGATTGGCCCACTGTACTCCTTGGATTAAATATAGGCTTGGTTTCACAGACCAGGCTGAAACTAAGACAGGATTAGGCCATAGCTACATTAGAACATTTAAGTAATTTTTATAAAGGTGCCTTAGGGGAAAAAAAACATTACTGGTGTGCATCTTGAGACAAAACAAAGGCACTGACATGTTTTAAGATCATTCAGTGCTAGTTTCTTTCAGTTCAAACGGCTCAGACTTACATTTTAGTCTGAGACTAGGCTTAAGCCTTGTCTGTGAAACCGGGGGGAATAGTGACTTTTCACAAGGGGAATGAGGATGTCCAAGCCTTTGTTTACTCCATCGCAAATACCTGGAGCGACTTTTCCACAGGTGTCAATTGCCACCTTCCTGATGACCTCCCCTACTTTTTCTATTACCCCATGTAACTTTAGCAGCCATCTCCAGCTATAACATCTGCATTCATACAGACTGGACTTCAGACTTTCAAATGTTGTATCTCTCTATCAATGCATTTCAAGGCTTCTTTGAGTTGTCCGACATCCAGTACAAGCTGGTGAACCATCACAGAGAGGTTTAAGCAACTTTGATGCAGCTTTGGTTGTCATTTCAGTTGCAGTGGTCTTTTTAAAGGATTAATGTTTAGCAGAAAGTTCTCGTATTGCAGTCAGTATACCTGTGTTTTCGTTGCTTTCTTATAGATATATTTCTTCTTGTTGCTGATTTTGGCTTTCTTTTTTTTTTATTTAATTTTTGTTTGTTTCTGAATGAGTCAGAAAGGGGGTAACGATAGCCTCTGTATCAAAGTTTTGAATTGAATCACACCACATTGGCATTTCATTCTCATTCGCTGGATCCATCATTGTGAAGTGCTAAGGAGTTCTGCACATTCACTTTTTTTTCTGCACTTGGAACACACTGCGATTATGTTTAAAGGCTGCTTTTCTCTTTTCTTAGATCTACCCATATAAATCAGATTCCGAAGAAGTCCGTGCTAATTAAGAATGTAGTCATGCCAGATAAGTTGTATCATCTCATCACCTTAGCAGCCCACACTTACACGTCCACCTGCAACTTGTTCAAAACAAAGGCATAGCTTTCTGACGCCGTAATTGAGTGTGGAATCCTGGGAGATGTTTTCACCTTTACAGACGATGGAAAAGAATCCGACAGTATTCGGCCATTTTTGTGGAGCAGGTAATATAATAAAGATTTATTTTACATTGTTGTAGTATGAAGCAGGGTGGGGCTTAAAGCTGTGGAAGTGGAACAAGGCCGCTGGAGCGATCTTCAGTCACCACTTCCGCTCCTTCCAGTCTTGCATATGTGGGGTAATGCAGGTTTAAGCTTTGTTATATTGTACTAGATATTTGTGTGTGGTGAAAGTTATTTTGTAACGCTACTCTGCGCATTCACTCGGCAGCTGCTATGAGACACTTGTTGCACACTGCCGTAAGCTAGATCGATATTAGACATGGTAAAAACATTTTGCTTGCAATAAATGAAGAAAATGAGATTTAAACTAAAACATTGATTCGTTTTCTGTCGACGAATGTATTCAAACAGTTGCTCACCTGTCTAATAAAACGCATAATATATTAAAGCATCTTTGGTGTTTCCATGGCTTCTACAAAATCGGAAATTGAGGGTAAAGTGGGTATGACGCCATTGACAGGCGATGCAGTGTTGTGATGGGAAGTTCGTATCATTTTATTGACTTGGATCTTTGAATCTCGTTCAGCAAAATGAAAACTGTTTTTTTTTTTTTTTTTTTTAA